TTTTTTTTTTGAAAAATAATCAAATGTAAAAATGTATCAATATTTTTTTATATTTTTTTAAAAAAATATTAATAATTGTTTAGTTTTCTTTTTTAGACAGGTCAGATCAGGTCAAATCAAATGTATATTTAATTCAGATCAATTTTATATCTGATCCAATGTGATGTGACATATTCAGAGTTCTAATTTTAAGTATAATCTAAAATCAGTATATTTAAAATTTAATGATATTTGATAATTTTTCTTTCTATTTTCAAAAATTAAATATCATTTTATTTGAATTAAAAGAATATATTTTGATAATTTAAATAAAAAGTAAATATAAATTATATTGTTGAATATATAATTGAATAAATAGAAAATTTTCAGATAATTCAGATTATATTATTTTAATTTAAGTTGTTACATTTAATCATATAATTTCTAATATATATTACTTTTTTTATAATAAATGTTCATTTTTATGAAAAAGTAGTAAGAGTAATGATGATATAAGAAAAATGCTTTTACAAAATTTTATAGTAATTTTATAATTTTTATTTATATATAATCAATCACATTTAGTCTCAATTTATTAAATTTATTAATAATAAGACTAGTTATAAATATAAAGTTTTACTAGCATTTCTATTTATTATTTATAGATGATAAATTTTTATAAAGATTATTCTTTTAATATTAAATAGCTATTAATATTTATTAAAATATACAGAGTAACTGTTGAATTAATGTTGCTATTAAAAATTAAATGTTTTTTTTCAACCTAGCAGTCTTGGGTTACTGCCAAATGTGGATAGAGGAACGTATAATACGTCACTCCTATATTTTATTCATGGGATAGTATCACAAGATTTGCCTAAAAAGAATTATAAATAAGTATAAATTTATGATAAATAATTTTAATATGGATATATAAAATTAATTATATTTATTACTTTATAATAAATAACTTTTATAAATTTTGTTCTTTAGTAATTAAATTCATATTTTTATAATTGATAAAATATCTTTAATTATTAAATAATAAATCATTTGAATTGTCTATTAAATTTTTAGATATCAATTTTTTAATTATAGATTACCAAAATAAAAACATCATTTATAATTAGCGATATTTAATTCAATATGCAGCATATATACGTGTATAAAATTTTAATTATTATGTAATACAGCATATAGCATTGCTATTTTCACATAAAATTTTTTTGAAATTTAAAAAAGGTATCGTTTATATAAATAAAAAAAAAAAATTACTAAAAATAAATTCCATTTTTTTTCATTTATTTCTACCAATTCAAGAATTGATTTTTGTAATTATGCCTTATATGGTTATATCTTATAATGAAATTTGATTGGTTTAATTAATTTCATTATAATTTAACAAATATATATTTGTGTAGTATTGACATTTATGTATGTTGGTGATAAAAAAGAAATTCATTTGAAAAAAACGGAATTATTATTTGTAAAACAGAGAAATTAAAAAAAAAAAGGACATATGTAGTGTTAATTATGGAAAAATGATTATTTGTTTTCCAATGTAACGTTCTTCATTACCAAATGATTTTCTTTTCTTGGCAATTTTTTTTGAAAAAAAGAAAAACAAATAGGAAAGGAAATAAGGCTTGGATCTTGTGCTTTTATACACAGAACGTCATGATTACATGTTGTGTATCTTGTTGTTCGACAAACAAATTAAGATTAGTCATTACTTTTTAATATGAAACTAATTTTGATTTCTTTCACAACTTTAATATTTTTCTCATTTTTAATTGAATAACAATATTTTGAATTTCACAGAACCCAGAACCGTAAAAAAATTTATTGCAGAATGAACAACCTAAGGTTATAAAAGTTTTTTTTTCTGGAGAATGAGAATGCAAGTTATATTTTTTATGTACAAAGCTACCAATAGTCGGAGAAAATGAATAGATGTTTTAATCAAACGTTCGAGGTTTATATCTGTTACGCTTATGTCCGCTCCCAAATATGTTTTAGTAGTTTGCATTTGATGCTAACACGAAATCTATTTTCTGATTAAATGTATTGCCGATCTGAGGTTTCACAACTATCTGTAATGTCCAAAAAATACGTTATATACATCATTTTTTGATGTCTTTCTCTGTATTCAATAAAAACTTCCGACTTCTGTTTTTTTCCCTCTTACTTTTCTCTCTTGTTTCATTTCCTGCTAATTTTTTTCTTTCCTTTAACTCCTTTTATAATAATTGCGGAAATAAGAAATATTACAAAAGCATTAAGAGTAAAAATCAAATTAATTTTTGAAAAACAAAAAAAAAAACTATGGCACAATGTTTAGTGTTATTTTTAAACGTTCTTTTTTTAATGCCTTTGTTATGTTATATCATGTTTGCTGGGACGATGTCTGTATCCGCTATGCCAACTTCACAAAACGATGATACAAATTACGCTTCAAAAAAATCATTAGATGATTTAAAGTTTACAGGTGGTCATTGGTTTAGCGAACCAAATCTGATCACTTTCTTTATAAGAACAGAAGATTTTGAATATAAACCATCTGATGTTGATGATAAAATTATAATTCCCGATTCTTATATAATTTTAAGTGGCGAAAAATTTTCAATGCCATCTCATTTTAATTATTCGGAAGGTGTTGGTTTAATTAGAACTGGTAAGTTTAGTAATTTGATTATTTAAAACTATTTTTAACGGAAATCATTATTTATTTTATAAAATAAATACAAACCTTTTTTAATAACTTTGTATATTTCGACAATATATATATATATATGAATTAATATGAATTAAAAGTATCATTGCCTCGAACCGAGTATTGTCGTGACTATCATTTTGAAACTCTTCAATTTGGTAATATAAATCGATGGCCTAAAAATAATGACCTTTTAACCATTGAAGGCGACCGTTGTCTAATGCCATTAAGTAAGTCGTTTTCATTACACCAATTCTTAGCATTTAAGTAAAATTTTTTTGAAATATCATTATTCATCTTTATTTTCCGATTCGCGCCTTTTTATATAAATAGGTGAAGCTCTCTCAATTTTTCTGTGTATAATTGATTTAGCGATTGCTTTCGCATATTATACGATCCCAGTTCAACTAATGTATTTCATGAGGAAAGGTAAGTAGTCACATGACCTTGAGTCGTTATTATTGGACATTCAATAAATACTAATCATACCTTTTTTATCTTTATAAAATAGCACCTAGACTTCCCTTTCCTATGGTTTTTGGTTTATTTAGTGCTTTCATTATATTATGCGGCACAACTCATATCGTTTCTTCTTGGATGCCATGGCATCAAACATATGTACTTTCCGCTATCATAAAAGTAATCACTGCCATCATCTCACTCAGTACAGCCGCAGCATTGACCGTAATTATTCCGAAAGCGTTGGAGTTACCTTTATTGGCAGCTCAATTCGAAGATGAACTAAATGAAACATTAATCATGCAGAAAACTTTAATCGATGAAAATCAAATCATGTCAAATTTTAGACGCGTTACTCATGCTATTCGTGCTACTTTATCTAAAGAAGTAATTTATCATAATACTGCTTCTCAAGTATGCGGAATTTTTGATGCTGATAGGTGTCAAATTTTTACCTCAAAGGCTAGAGGATGGAGAATTGCTCAAGATTACATTGAAAGCGAGCACAAATATCATAATAGTATCAATGTTAAATTGAATCCTGAAAGTAGTACTATCAATTATGCTATGGAAGAAGCTAAACCTGTATTACTTGGTCCAAATGATACTGAATTATATGATTTATATTTAGATGGATCTTATCAAAATATTGATACGGTATTGTATTTATTTATGATATAATTTTACGACGGACGAATATTAATTAATAATTTTATTTTTCTATTTGAAACAAAAAAGGTTATACTTGTCCCAATTAAGATTTCTGAGAATGAATTTGGCATTATCGTAATCCAGCGTTGGAATAATACGGCTCAGGTTGAATTTAAATCGCATAAAGAATGGACTCAAAATACTCAAAGTAATCTCATCTTCCTAGCAGATTTAGCTGAACAAATTTCTATTGCTTTGGCTCAAGCCACCTTAATCGAACAAGACAAGGTAAAAACAAAAAAAAAAAAGATCGGTTCATATGCAAGTTTTTTTTTTAAAAAAAAAAGAAGAAATAAAGAAAGAAAATTTTATCTATCTTTAGAATCGTATCTACCAACTTGCTGAACAAAATGATGCATTAATTCAAGCTAGAAAAGAAGCTTCTGCAATTCAGGTATATGAAGTTTTAGTTGAGTTTTTATTTATTTTAAATTTTACCGATTATTGATCATTGTGCTTTTAATAGGCTCATCGTGAATTTTTAGCAGGTAATTTCTTAATCTTTAACACTTAAAAAATGTTCTTTTATATAAATACAATTATGATAATTTTTTGAACATTTTAATTAGTTATGTCCCATGAAATGAGAACGCCTCTTTACGCGATTTTCGCGTTGACTTCAATGTTATTAGAAATGCCAAGTTTGTCAAATCAAGAAATGACCGAAATGCGTGACATGTTGGAAATCATCAAAAAGAGTGGAGATATGTTAATAGCTATTATTAACAATGTCCTGGATTTCTCTAAATATGAGGAGGAACAATTACACTTGGAGCGTGCACCTTTTTGTGTACAAGAAGCTGTTGAGAATTCATTAGATATAGTATCACTTCAAGGACAAGAATCCACTAGACCACGTATTAATTATTTGATTGATAATGCTGTTCCCTGTAACATTGTAGGAGATATGACTAGATTTCGACAAATCGTTGTGAATTTATTGTCAAATGCATGTAAATTCACTCAAAGTGACGGAGATGTTTTACTTTCAATTGAAAGTGAATATATTGAAAGACAAAATGTTAAAAAGATTAGAATTAGAGGTGAAGTTACTGATACTGGTATTGGTAAGTAAATGGAATTTAATATTTATATAGCACTTATTGAATTATTTATATAATTTATTCTTTTTCCTCCTTTATTTTTTAGGTATTTCAAAGGAAGTTTTGCCAAAGTTATTTGAGAAATTCTCACAAGCCGACGCGAGTATTACGCGTAGATATGGTGGAACAGGTGCGTGTCACGTTTTATAATAATAATGATAATAATAATAATTTTACTAAAAAATTTCCATGATTTATTAGGTCTTGGCTTAGCGATTGTAAGGAAATTAGTAAAATTAATGAATGGAGAGATACGAGTTGAACCAAACACTTCGGCAAGTAGTGGAACGAAAATGATATTTTGTGTTGAACTTGATATCGATCCAAATAGTCCTCCTTATCCGTCCTTATCTCCCTTTTTCCGTCAAAAATCTGTACTTATTTTGGAGAAACATGAAAGTAACAAGATGGGTCTCATAAAATTATTAAATCGATGTGGTTTGCAAAGACCGCCAAAGGTTTTCACATCTTTGAAACAAATAGCTGAAGATGAACATCTAGATGCATTAATAATAAATTTTCAGTTATTAATTGAAAATAATGAAGTAGAAATGTTGAAACATGAGAGATGGTCAGATATACCAATAATGATATTGGTAAATAATAAATCGCTTCAAAGATCTAATAAATACAAATTAGATGGAGATAATTTGTTGTTTTCTTCTTTCCCTGTAAAATTTAAATCTATGCTCAAGTTTTTAGAGGGAGAATCAGGCAATAACGAAGAAAATTTAAATACGATGAGTACATTGACGGAGTCTATGGGAGCGAATAAGGAAGGCATAAATGGTAATATTAAAGGTTATGATAATTATAATTCTCGGGATAATTCAATTGAAAGTGAAGAAATACCTTTAATAGATTTGAGCAAGGACAGCGATAATCAAGATGATTTACGAGTACAAAGTAAAGGATCTTTATCATCAAATGGACTATCAATAAGTTCTGGATCTGGACAACATTCTATATTAACTACTTCACCATCATCATCAATTTCAAATTTATCGTCCATTTTTACAAAATCTTCAGAAATTCAAAAATATTCACCCATTATAGAACCTCAATATGCTCTAAAACGTACATTTTCCTCCTCATCGACTTCGTTGGATATATCCAGCCATAATACACAAGCAGCGACGACAGCTTCACGTAATGAAGCAACAATCACAACATCGCCATCACTTTTACCTTTTGAAGACCTTGGCATCGATTTAGCTGGTAAATTTGGTAATATTGACGCGGAAATACCAAGATTAGATGTGTTAATTGTTGAAGACAATGTCATAAATCAGGTTAGTTATGTGCTTTTAATCTTTTATCCAAGACTCAAATCGGAGTGCAACTTGTGAAAAAAATGGTTAATTTATACATTTTAATATTATCAGATGGTTACGTCGCGCATACTTGGAAAATTAAATCAGTCGTGTGATATTGCCGGAGATGGAAAAACCGCCATAAGCAAATGTGAGAATAAAGATTATGATGTTATATTTATGGATATTTCGATGGCCGATATGGATGGATTTCAGACAACCGAGAGTATTCGAAATATATTTAAAGATATGAGACGACCGTGGATTATTGCGTTAACAGGTAAATGAAGAATTAGGCGTATTATCGGTCTTTTAATATACAATATTGATTTTTCAATTTCAAATTTTCATAATATATTATTAGCAAATGCGTTATGGTATGATCGGTTTCGTTGTATAGAAAGCGGTATGAATGATTTTGTGTCGAAGCCAGCTAGAAAAGATGATATTAAAGACGCGTTATTAAGATACTTAAACCAACGTGGCTGTATAACAACAACTGTTTGTGGTAAGACATCAAATACAACACCAACAACAACAACAACAACTATTACAAATACAAGTACGACTAATAAGTCATAAATCTCATCAATCTCATCAATCTCAACCAACATTATCATCCGCATCAATTACAAATCAAAACAAAGTATAAATGGTGACGGAAGCACAATTTAAAAAAAAAAAGTAATAGTAATAATAAATAATAATATAATAATGATAAAAAAAAAAAAAAAAAAAGAACAATTGGATAATTGACTTAGACAATTTTTTGGTTGGGTAAGGTGGCGTGGCGTTTCTTTAGAGTATAAATTCTTCATTAGATATTTGTACATAATAATATTATTTATCTATTTATTTGTCTCTCTTTTTTTGTTTTTGTTATCGATTGCATAGTTTGATTTGTTATTAAATAAAATATAGCATATAACATATATGTAGCAAATTTTTATTGGTTTAAAATGTATCATAACTACAAAATATATATGATCGTCATGAAAGTAGCATCTCTAATTACTTTGCTGTGCCATAAATTTCATACATTTTAACTTGACTTTTAAAATGGAATCAATTAATTTATCATCTCAATACATGCTTTAATAATGTAATCATACAGCAATATTACATGAATTTGAAATTATTTCGCGAGAAAAAAAAGAAAATTATTATTGTTGTTCAATGTAACGAATAGTTGAGACAATGCGAAATCCTTTAGGAATAACCATACTAATTAAAATTCATTTGTTTTTTTTTGTTAGTATTTTCATTTTAAATTATAAAACATATACAGTACATATACAGTATATATACTCACTGATCATAATTATCTTGTAAAACTTGACCATTCATTACTATCAAATCTCCATGATGCAAAATTAATGACAACTCGGGACCGGAAATTCTCCTTTTGATATATACCTTAGAAATATCAATAGGCAGATATGAAGATCGATTCGTGGATTCCTCTAAATTTGACACAATACTTGAAAATTCAGGTAGTTTATCTTCATCAGGGGTGGTTAAATTTCTAATTGGAGGTAATTGAACAACATTCATAGCACTTTCCGCTTCTTGTTCGACTTGAGGTTTGATTTTGCTACCTACCATCACATTTCTAGAGAACCTTTTCCTCCTTCCTTTTTTGGACACATTATTTCCATTTGCATTAGTGTTATCCTGATTTTCTTGGAAAGTGCTTTCGTTATTCATTAACTTCCTTTTCCTATTGTAGTCTAAACACGTAGAAGAGGTCTCAACTTCACGTTCTGTTGTTTCTAATCTAGTATTTTCAACATTTTGTTTAGTTGATTCGGATTCATTCACAAGTTTATGTTCATCTTTTTTTACTTTTCGACGAAATCTCATTTCAGCGGAGGATCCTAGAGAAAGGGTCGCTATAACCGGACCAACTCCTTTGTCACCATCATCATGCCATGACATTTTTTGACCTTCCATGTAAATGGCCGTGAGCATTTGGTTGAAATTGGCTTTTGGAACAACAAAGTTCCTGACAATGTTTTGCATATACACAAAAGAATCCTTACATACTTTTGGGGAACTTGACCATGGTACAGTATCCAAATCGAGCGCTTGTTTATAATGCGCTCCGATGTTAAGAGTGAATTGTCTCGAGAATAAACAAGATCCCACCCTATTAGTCAATTGTTTAACAGGATGTCTTTTCAAATTTTCACAATCAATTTTTTGAAATTCTTTTAGGAACGTATCCGGCATTTTATTGGTTTTTTCATTCGACACATAATGAAACACATGTCCACCTTCTGGAAATTTGTATTCCATTAAAATTTCACCATCAGATAAAACGGTTCGTTTTCGAAAAATGTCACTGCCCTCTAAGATAGATCCATCACAATCAGTGGCTGGACCAGTGAAGATTGGTCGGTAAGGATCGACTAACATTGATTTGTCGATAATCAATCTCGGCGCAGGTTGCATTTTCTATAACATTAATCGTGTATTAATTATATATTGATACAAGGATCATATTTTTATTGTAACTTCAAAATCATTAAGACTTACATGACAGTTAAAACATTCCCAACCATTCCATTTAATACGACAAGATACCCTTCCACATCTTCGACAGTGATACCCTTTCCATTGTAGAGAAGTATAAGTGTCAAATCCTACTTGAGCAGTAGGTATCAAAGGAGGAATAATGCTAAATGGTAGCGGTTTCATCAACAATTCTTTAGGAACAAACCCAGGGTTTAAAAATGTCTGTTTGTAATTTAGGTTTTGTGAAGCGAGTTCCCAATTTCTTTTATTCGAATTCCAAACCTGAACAAAGGTTTATAAATAAAAGGTTAGAATATACTAATCAATGTAAATTGTTTGCACACGTGAATTTACCTTCCAAAATAACTTGCATAAATGATTGAGACAAATCCAAATATCGTAAATCTGTATGGAAGAATCTCCACACGCGAGACATATATCATAATCTGGAGTATCAATCATCAACGAGTTCATCATCATCATCTCCACGGGGGTTTCCCACCAAGGTTCAAATTCTTGGTTGGTCATCCATTCAAATCGAAATTTCCAACGAATGAAATGCTTTACCACAGATTTACGTTTCTTGATTTTGGGTTTAACTAATAAAGAATTTTCGATTAAAACCTCTTCATCTGTTAAATCATCATCATCATCTTTCTCTTCTAATCCATTGACTACTTCATATTCTGGCTGTAATCAAATAATTTTGAAAACGTGATAATCTTGAATTTGAATGCTCAGTTAGGTTAATTATTAGAATACAAACCCACGCGTGCGTAATTAGATACATCCTGTCATAAGATCATCTCATTAGCTTGAAGAATACCGATTTTTTTTTTTTTGATTTTTTTTATATAGATCAGATACTTACCCAAGTACACAATACCGTGCAGGAACTTGGAATTTAGCAATTGAACACTTATTACCAACAATGATTATCACCGGTTGTTTATCAACGAAATTGTTCAGCAAAGAACTAACCGAAGCGTCAGTGGTTAATTGCGATTCAAAAAGACCGTATCTACCATTGTTTTGTTTAGAGCTTTTACCTCCACTTAAAAATTTATTTCAAAAGGAAAAAGGAAAATAAAAGATTCGATTTTAATTTAACAATGAAATTTTCTGTTTTATTGAAGAAGATAAAATAAATAGAAAGCATTTTACCCATGCGATATAATTACTCGCCCATTGCAAACATCTCTCTTTGCTCCAAATGCATCCATAAGGTACGAATAAACTACGTTATCTTTATGATACACACCGCTCTGATACGTTCTAAAATAATTTAACGTCTCACACAGTTCTTGTCGTGTCTTTGAAGAGAATAAACGTGTAAAATTATAATAGTTACAACTTGAAGACAAAATGTAATGAAACCAAATTCATTGAGATTTTGGAAAAAGAATTCCAGATGAACGAATGTACCTGAGCCCAAACTTTAGGCCGAAGCCTATTTATGACGGAATGATTTGTAACATCATTACACTCTGTAAGTGGGTAGGATGATATATTGACTTCCTCTTTTACAGAATGACTATTTATAATACGATCTTTATCGTTCATGATCAATGAATTTTATTTAAATTTTATTTTTCCGATTTTTTTTATCAAGTATCGAGCAATGAAAGTTACTCCCAATGATAAAACCTCATTAGTTTTTTTTTGTTTATCTCTTGCTTATAGGTACAGATTTTCCAAGAAGATAAAAAAACTCTTGAAAGGAATTGAATCATATTTATTATAAAAACGTCGATAAGCTTTTTTTTGTTAGATATAGCTTATTGTGAAGTAAACTTAGACTTTTGGGAAAGTGTGTTAATTTCCGGTCATTATAATCAACTTACTTTGAAAGGTTAAAAAAAATCACATTTATAAAGAACGATATGGTTTTTTCGAAATGGAATATTGGAGGAACGCAGCTCCGGACCAGGTCAGGTGCGTTGTTACCAGAGTCAATCCAGTATGGCTGCGCCCATGCGGTAATGTTTGTTTATGATTTTGACTTGAACGAGAAATATCATTGTTAAATCATTGGTTTTTGTTCATTTTGTTTGTTAACATTCTTGGAAATGACCACACGTTACACGCCTTAGCAAAGGAACCTATACGATTGATGGTTGAGAAAAAAGAGAAATTGGAAATCAAGAACGAGATCAAACTTTACAACTTTATTTGGTGTCGTAATATTTGGCCAAATAATTAAAAACGTTTGACGCGTTAAAAATTTAGAGTTTTGGTGGGAAATAATGAACTTTTGAACTTTTTTACGGATAATTCCTTTTGTTATTTATCATTCATTACACATTTTTAAAAATCTGCAACCGATATTTATATTTCTCAGCCAAAAAAACCATATTACATGTGATAATTGTTTCAAATTCTGCGTGCTGTAACCTGTTACGGGTCAACTTAATAGTGACCCCGTTTTTTTCGATTGTCTTTTATCCCCAAATGTGACATGTTGGTAAGTGATAACACACAACGATCATCATAATCATTTATTTATACAATTTGTAAAAAATGAGTTTCATTTCAACATGGTCAACTTTTCATGTTTCATGTTTCTATGTTCTTTATAAAGAAAAATTGAATGTGTTTATTGGAATATACAAAGTACGGATTTGTCACAGATTACTATTGCTCGAATATTTTGATTATTAAAAGTTTTTCCATTTTTTCAGTCAGTCTTTTGGTAAATCTTTTTTTCTGTTTGGTTAATTTGGTCAGAAATTTAAACGAAATTCTTCTCTGAAATTATTTCTTTTTTTCTTGTTCTTTGTTGTAAGTTGCTTCGAAACATCGAAATATTATTCAATGGCAAATGAAGGTTTGAATGAACCAAACAAAATAGATAACGATTTTATTATTCATCATTCAAAAAAGTATCTAATTTGTAAGGATTTCCTCATCATATATATCTCTGCTTATTATGTAAAAAAAAAAAAAACATATTATGTAAATAGAAGTTTGGCGCACATGAATTAAGTTTGTAAAAAGATTGTCTCCTTTTTAGAGGTCTGTGCGTAGTAAATCAATTCATAAAATCACATGACTTGTTACGCAAAATTCTACCTGAAACACGTCATTACTTTTAGGCTTTTGGTGATTGGTTTATTCATTTTTTTTATTATAAACGTGATTTTTATGGTGATATATATAATCCTATTTAAGTCCCATCTTTTGACTTTTTCCAGTGGCTTATTCAATCAATCTTCTATATACATATCTTTTTTTTTTTTTAGTTATATTTCCTTCCCTCTTTTGACCAAACTCTCTCTCTTTTTATAAAGACTGTATCCAGTTAGCGCATTTTCACGTGAGATACTTAACGTTTTGAATTCGAGAGATTTATATCACTCTTCGCGTCAAGTTTGATATATAAAAGTCGGTAAGTAAAAAAAAAAAGTTTAGGAAAAAAGAAAATCCGTTTTTACGGAAAAAAAACAAGCTTAAAAACTTGCGAAATTCCTGTTTTTCCTCCTTTTTTTTTCTCCCCTCTAAAAAAAAAATAGATTTATATTCTCATTATACATATTTTTTTTTTTGAATTTTTCGTCTCAAAAAAAAAAAAAACAGAAAAAAAAAAACAAATAGTTATTTTATTCATTATCATGGCCCAAGATAATTGGGGTAATAACGTTCAAGGCCTCGAAAATCCCGACACCTCTTGGTCTAAGGCTCCCACAAATAAGTCAAATATCTTACAAGTAGAAAACAACTGGGGAACGCCTGTAGGATCTGTCAGAACTTCCGCTCCTTCTGAAAATAGTTTGGGTGGCAATAAAACCAATGATCCTGTTCACGATTCATGGGGACCTAATAAATCAGAAAATTCGTGGGCTTCAAGAAATGAAATCGTTCAAGTCGATCAATCATGGGCAAAGAAATCACCACTTAAAGAATCCCCACCTAAAGAAGAAGAGAAACCTTTAATATCATCAGAAAATGAACCTCCTAATATCGTAGATATAGGTCCTCCATTAAATCTTGATTATAAACGCGAGGAGGAAGAGGAGGATTTGACCGTATGTATATCGATTCATTTCATTTTATTTTATCTCATTTAGTAAATTTTTTTTTTTAATTAAAAAAAAAAAAAAAAAAAAAAAGTAAGGATTAGTTTAAATGTTTATTGTACTTTATCTTAAAAAAACAATCTTACGAATATTTAAAGATTGAAAAAGAATATGAATTACAACAACACATATTGGATGACGATGATCATTGGGACCCCAATTACCGTAATGTGAATGAATCACAATCGGGTAATTCAATTTCTTCACCCCCAAAAGATGAAATACAATGTGAAATACCAAGTAATTTAATATTCCATATTTGATAATGATCGATATTATCGTAACATTTAGTTATTACAATATTAATCTGTATTAATATTCATCAGATGTATGTAATGAAAAAGATTATGTTGAACCATTAAACGTCGAACAAAAAGTTGAACCAATAATTGTTGAACCCATAGTTGTTGAACCCATAGTTGTTGAACCCATAGTTGTTGAACCAATAGTTGTTGAACCAATAATTGAGGAAACATTAACATCATCCACATCTCAAGAATTGCCTGAAAAGAAATTCCGTGATGTTGAAGTTCAAACCGACCCAATTGATTTTTTAAAGATCATCGCGTCAAAAGAAAAGTTGTTATCCTTTACAATCGATCCACAAATTGAAAAAATTCTTCAATCACAAAACGTTGGTTTAGGTATTGATCCTCAACAAACACCAACTCCAAATGATGATATAGATATTGATCCTCAACAAACACCAACTCCAAATGATGATATGGATATTGATAATCAAAAAACACCTATACAAACTGATAGTTATATTACTGTTTCCCATCCACCCAGCCTTGATACTGATGCTCAAAAACCACCAACACAAAATGATGGTTGGGTTACTAGTTCTACAACCACCTCACAACAAACGTCAACACAAAATGATGACTGGATTACATCTCAAAAAAATTCTGAGCAACAGACACCAGCACAAAATGATAGTTGGGTTACTAATACTAATCAACAAACTTCTGAGCCAAATATCGCACAAAAAAATGGATGGAATGTTATACCTCCTCCTTTACAAGATAATAATTGGGTTCTCACTACTCCCCAACAAACTATCCAGAAATCTCCCCCCAAAAGTCCCGCACAAAATAATGATTGGAAAGTCATTCCTCCACCTGTTCAAGATGATAGTTGGGTTACTACTACTCCCCAAAAAATTCCTCAAAAAACTCCTGCACAAATTCCCCAATCTCCCCAAAAAACTCCCGCACAAAATAATGGTTGGAGTGTTATTCCTCCACCTGTTCACGATAATAATTGGGGTTCTGCTGCTCCGCAACAAACATCGCAAACTCCTCAAAAAACTCCGACACAAATTCCTCAATCTCCCCCAAAAACTCCTGCACAAAATAATGGTTGGAGCGTCATTCCTCCACCTGTTCACGATAATAGCTGGGGTCCTTCTGCTCCTCAACAAACATCTCAACAAATTCCTAAAAAAACTCCCGCACAATTTCCTCAATCTCCCCAAAAAACTCCCGCACAAAATAATGGTTGGAGTGTCATTCCTCCACCTGTTCACGATAATAGTTGGGGTTCTGCTGCTCCTCAACAAACATCTCGAACCCCTCAAAAAATTCCCGCACAAATTCAATCTCCCCAAAAAACTCCCGCACAAAATAATGGCTGGAGCGTCATTCCTCCACCTGTTCACGATCTTCAACAAACACCTCAACAAATTCCTAAAAAAACTCCCGTACAAGTTCCTCAATCTCCCCAAAAAACTCCCGCACAAAATAATGGTTGGAGTGTCATTCCTCCACCTGTTCACGATGATAGTTGGGGCTCTGGTGCTCCTAAACAAGCATCTCAGCAAAATGTTGGTTGGAGCGTCATTCCTCCTCCTGTTCTTGAAGATAATAGTTGGAATTCCGGTCATCAAAAAGCACCTGTTAAGCCATCATTACCGAAAGAAACTACGCTGCAAGAAGCTCCAAATTCAAATGCAACTAACAAAGGAAACGATTGGAAGGCTACGGCTAATCAGCCTGCACAGCAAAATGTAGTCGATTCATGGGGTGCGAATCCTTCTAAACCCTCAGACTCGTCTTCAGCGAATGACTGGACCAAACAGGCAGCTTTGTTTGAAAAGGAGTTAGGAATAAGCAATGAAATAAAAGAAACACAATCGAATAATGATAAAGTTGAAGATTCGTATGGTGGTTCGTATGGTGGTTCATATGGTGGTTCATATGGTGATTCATATGGTGGGAGCGCAAATAATTCCTCTTATGATAATAATCGTCATGGAAGCCGTGAATGTCGTAACTGCGGACAAGAAGGTCTTTAAAATTTTAGAAACTCGATTCCATTTTAATTCATTATTCAATTATTTTTAATCCTTTCCAAACTTCTTATTGCTTTAGGTCATTTTTCTCGTGAATGTCCTGAGAAGAAACAAGGTTATGGTGGAAGTGGCGGTTACGGTAGCGCAAAAACGTGTCACAAATGCGGTAAAGAAGGACACATCTCTAGAGATTGTACCGAAGGCGGCGGATACAGCGGTGGATATGGTAGCGCAAAAACGTGTCACAAATGCGGCAAAGAAGGACACATCTCTAGAGATTGTACCGAAGGCGGCGGATACAGCGGTGGATACGGTAGCGCAAAAACGTGTCACAAGTGCGGCAAAGAAGGACACATCTCAAGAGATTGTACCGAAGAAAGTAGTAGAGGTGCATATGGTGGAGGCTATAACAACGGTGATAGTAGTGTTTGGTGTGTATTACTATCTCATAATGATCATTTTCCCCGCAAAAATAGCATTACCTTAATTTATTAAATCATTTCTTGTGTATTTAGTTATAAGTGTAATAAGCCAGGTCATCGTCCACAATATTGTAAAGAGGACGCGCATGAAACTACAGGGGATGATGGTGGTTATGGTAGTTACGGTAGTTACGGTAGTTATGGTGGTAAAAGTGGAAGCATCACTTGGTATGATTTTATAATTTTAAGGAATCGTATTCGTCAGTATTATGCTAATACCTTCATTTAAAAGTTACAAGTGCAAGCAACCTGGACATCGTTCTTCTGAATGTACCGAAGATGGAGGATATAGCAGTGGTCCATCACGGCCTCGTCCGACTACTCATAGTCCATGTAATTTTTTTTAAAAAATATTTAATAACCGGTTATATAAATATGCTTATTAACATCTTATTTATTTATTAGTTACTAATTCTAAACATCCCGACATTTCATCTGAAGAGGCATGGCAAAGATTACTTGAAGCTGATAAATTAAAAGATGCCGATGATTTTAAAGAGGCGTTTGAAATATACGCAAAAACGGCCCCAGAGGATACGTTCCAGTCAATTGAAAAGAAATTAAGAGGTTCAAAATGTAATGGCAGAATTGTTGCATTGGTAAGTGCTTTATTTGTAATTAATATTCATGATGTTAAATTGCTTTTTTTTTTGTTAACAACGATATATCTTTTGTAAAGGAACGCGCGGAAATACCATTCACTCAGGTTTTAGTAGATCTCCAGGGAAATATCAAAGAAAAGTATGTCGCTAGGATAATTATGGGAGATCCCTCTCGTCTCGCTCGTACAGCCGGGAATCGCGCTCAAAATGAGGAGGAGAATTTTCGATGGTTAGCTGAATCAGGTTTTATTGTGGATGATCGGGTTTCGCAACTTTGCTTCAATTGCAAACAAAAAGGCCATTCTTCAAGGTACTCATTTCATTTAATTGATTTCGTCTATAACATTTTAATCTTCAACCAATTTTCTTTTTTTCTTTTATAGGGAATGCCCAGAACCAAGGAAAGAGGTTGAAAAACCTACATATTTAACATGTCAAAATTGCAAATCATCCGACCATATTACAAAGTATTATATACAATTAATAACATGAATCTTATTCATTCAAATCTTCTTTTTTTTTTTTTTATTAATTTAATCATCATGTCATTAGATATTGCAAAGAAGAACGACGTGATTATTATGCAGAAGGTAAATTGGAACTTTAAATTCTCCTCTTAAATCTTTTTATTTTATTAACATTATTTTATTTAGCTCGTGATCGTAAAGTTTCAACCGGATGGTAAGATATCTTTTATTTACGAATTCGTTAAATTTAATATTATTACTAAATCATGAGATTCGAATTCTTAGTTTTAAATGCGGTTCAACCGAACACATGTCTCGCGATTGTGAAGAAAAAGGTATTTTTTTTTTTCTTTTGAACTTTTTGTTTTAAAGATTAAAATATCATCATAACAATTATTGTTCAGGATACGATGAAGATGATCAAAAAAATTTCCGAAATAACCAAACCTGGTAAGAAAAAATGCTCGATCTCTTCTTTTTTATCATTTGGAAATTTAAATAAATTAATCAATTATTATTATAGCCATAATTGTAATCGTGAAGGACATATATGTAAGAATATTTATTTTAACGTTTATCAGTTCAATGAATGTTATTATAAATTAACCAACTCTTTTTAATTATAGCACGCGATTGTACAGAACCTAAACGAGGCGGTAAGGAATAGGATGCTCATGATTTTAATTATCATATATTTATTTATAAATAAACCTTTGTACATTTATTAGGACGAAAGTGTTATAAATGTAACGAAGAAGGCCACATGTCAAAAGATTGTACTGCTGATAGCAAAAGTGGAGATTATGATAGAGGAAATTATAACAGTAGTGGATGGACAAATGAGACCTCATGGAATAATAATAATAAGGTTGCTTCTTGGAACACTCAAGATCAAGCCGTCGATGCTTATTCTCAAGAAAACGCAAGGAACAAAGGAGGAAATAGAGACTCTTCTTGGTCCAAGGGTAGAGACACTCCTCGTGAAAGGGATGATTATTATGATCGGGGCAATGAACGCAATGTAACATCTACTTCTTGGGGTATGCGAGATAAACCTGGAAATAATAATAATAATACCGGTAATTGGCAAGCAGAAAATACATGGAATAATAATAGACCTAAGAAAGTTGAAGAGTCCGGATGGAGGAATACGAATACTAATGATAACAATCAAGTAGCATATGGTGATTATGAAAATTCGCGAAGTCGTATCAGCGAACCAAGAGATGGTGATTATGAAAACAGGCGAAGTCATAACAACGAGCCAAGAGAAAATTGGAGAAATGAAAGTTATAATAAAAGTTCCGGTGATGATGACTGGGCAAGAAAACAAGAATCACCTACACAATCGATAAGACCAAACGTGCGAAGATCCGATGCTCAAGCATCCAATTTAGATAATACCAAACCTTGGTGGTAACTTCATTTTTTTTAAAAAAGGTTATATATGGTTTACCTTTGATGCTGGCTGTTTTTTTTATTTTCCCGAATAGTATATATAGTATGCTTGCATTTTTTAGCTTCATTTTAAATATTATTTCACAAAAAATTATTTTATTTGGTATATTAATGTAAATTCTCTTTATCTTTTAATTAAAAAGTCAAAAAATAAAAAAAAAAAATACTTGATTTCAAATTTAGCATAAGAATTTTTTTTTACAATCGTTAAATTATAGAAAAAAAAAACTTTATTTTACTTTTCGCTTAGGATAAGTTTTTGTAATTATATAATACAATTCATTGGTACACACAAAGAGACGTTCCTTTTCTTGTTAATAAACATCCCAACTAAGCAAAAAAACTAAGTGTGTATGGAAAACTTAAAGTGCAATTAAATAATAAACAGAATTCAAGGTCAAAAAAGTTAAAGGTTCCACTAATACAAATTATTTTATATGGGAAAATATTAATTAATTATTCATTTTATGAAAAAGTAACTAATTTAGGATCCCTCGGTAAACCAGTTTGTGGATCAATATTATTGGTTTGGAATTTTCTTTTCTGTCTAATTAATCTCGCTTGATCAAAAGTAACATGTTCAGTTTCCATAATTCTTTTAATTTCATCAGAATCTTCCAATCCCGGTCTTGAATCACCATCAATTATATTTTGTTCAAGATCAAAAGTTTCCGAAGTTAGGCCATCTTCTATATCATTTTGAAATGAATTTGAAGAAAATACTGTAGGTAACCTTTGATAACGACGATTTATACTTGGGAAATATGAAAGTATAAATTTTCGATAATAAAAAGCGACTGTTCAATCATTTGAAGAGATTGAAATCAATTTGAATCAATATGCAAAAATAATGATAGAAAAAAAAAATTTTTTTATAAAGGAAAAAAAAAAATAAAACTCACCAAATAATAATAAACTTAAAAATAATAACAATAAGGAGGGGACTTGCATTTTTTTTTTTTTAACAATAATAAACTTCCAGAGCTTATATTTGCAAAATAAAAAGCTAAAAAAAAAAAAAATAAATAAAAAAAAATCTGCCGGCGGTCAAATTATGGAGAGAAATTCTGCGAAATTCGAATATAAAACTTTGATCATGAAAGAAAAAATGGGAGAAATAAAAATAAATTTGGTCTGGTGATCAGAGTGATCAAGATTCGTTACACGGACATTTTATAGATTTGTATAACAATAAATTTTTTGATAACGATAATCGATTTTAATTTATCCCAATAAGGATTTATTGCTTTTTTTCTTAAAAATACAATGAAGATATTAAATTTTTATATTTTTTTCGTTGTGATTAATTTTGAGATTGAGAAACAAATCACTATATTCTGCGCTCTACATCTACTTAAAATTTTCTTGAATAATACCCCGGGTATTGTATTCAGTATTGTTAAGGAAATTTGATTTATAACCACTTCCACATCACCATTCTAAGCCGGGATCTTATTTAAGCTTTAATATTTTTTAAAAGCATTTATTTTAACAATTCAATTTTAACCATGTTTATATTGTTATGTAATATTATTATACTCCTTTCAAGAAAAAAATTTCTTTTTTTCCGCCAAGTTTCAAAATCAGTTTATTTATACAACTGCTAAACAATATTTAATCATTTTCGCTAATATCTTGATTTGTATGCTTATTATTAAAATAGAAGCTAAATGTGTTTCATCATTCTTTTTTTAAAAAAAATAAATGTTTAGCGAATCATGATCAGAGAATTTTAGTGTAAAATAAAGGAAAATTAATTCCATATACTACATTTTTGATTTAAAATGAGCCAATTTTTGAATCATTTTAAAATTAACCTCCAAGCATAAAAGCACAACCAACACTAAGGGCTCCTGCCGCCATACCAACAACAGTAGAGTATACAAGTTCCCATTTTCTACGTTTATTTACATGAATAGCACGTTCTTCTAATTCCGCCAACTTATTTTTGAGAGCAATTATTTCACTTGGTCCAATTAATTCTTCGTCTATTTCTTCGTATTTCCGTTTGCGTAAAATGATTGCAGTAGCAACATTTGAGGTGTCATCTTCAGTCACATGAGATGGACCTTCACCATTACTGACATTTTCGCACTTATCTGTATCAGTATTACTCTCTTTTTCTGTGTTGCTTTCTATTTCTTTCAGACATTCCCATTCCTTCTCTATATGACTCTCTTTCTCTTTGTGGTTATCCCTCTCTTTGTGACTCTCCTTCTCCCTGTGGCCCTCCTTTTCTCTACTATGAAATTCTTTCTCCCGGTAGTTCTCCTTCTCTCTATGGGCCTCCTTTTCTCTGCTGTGACTTTCTTTTTCTCTGTTGCGAATTTCCTTCTCTCTGCTGTGACTTTCCTTCTCTCTGTTGTGACTTTCCTTCTCTCGGTAATTTTCTTTTTCCCTATGACTATCCTTCTCCCTGCTATTCTCTTTCTCTCGTCGAGAGACTTTTGAGGGTTTTGTTTCTCGTGTACTTTGTGTAGATAATCTTTCTTTAACGGGAGCGGGTGCAGCAAATGAAACTGTTGTTCTTGTAGCGGAAACTGATGTTCTAATAACTGCTGATTCTCCTGTAACCTCTACCGATTCAACCTCATCGAAACTTTCAGAAGATACTGATTTATGTAGTTTTTCAACATTCTTTAAATTATCGACTATTTCGTCATTTTCCGTAAAGGCATTAACGCTGTCCTGATCGGATTTCGCTGTCTGTGCTATTTGTTCTTTATTTTCAACTTCTATATGCGTTTTATCATCAGACTGACCAATTTTCAATTTTTGAATAGAAGTTAACATTTCTTCACTAGTACTAGAAGTGATGCCGACCTCCTGTTTAATATGCTGCTTTGGTTCTGTGACAGGTACTAGAGGTTGCCAAACAAAATAAAGATGTTACTGAAAAGAATATTAAATAAAAATTTATCCCCTTTAACCTTACCTTCACTGGCATGTGTGGCGTTATCAGTGATACGCGGTTTAACGGGTAGGCCACCGAACTTGTTGCCAAGAGGGTTGGTTACATTAGACGAAGCAGGGGGTAAACCACCGGATTTTGCAATATAATAAGACGCAGGACCTTCACTTCTACAATTGACAACGAAAAATTTTTTCGTGAATATGATATAAACTAACAGCAACGCGATATTTTTAAAAAAAATGGTCACGCTTACCTTTGTTGAGAAATTCCTGCACTTGCAACCGTAACTGGTTCCTTCGCTACTCCTGACAAAGGTGTTGGTACATTCTCTGATGAACGTTCAGTTTTAATAAATGTGGGAGGGCTTGGAATAGGCAATGCATTTGATGTAACTCCGTTGAATTTGTTTGGAGGAAGTGTTTCGTCCTTTGTTTCTTTAGGATAAAATATATATGCTGATAGATGCTTGTACAAATCTGTAAGATATAAAAATTGAATCATTAAGAATTAGTATCTTTTTTTTTTAAAAAAAAAATAAAAATTGCTTGCAAAAAGGACATTAAAAGAAGTATATAACCTACTTTGATTACGCCTAACACTATGACCAAAAGTGATAACATCACCGTGATTTAATATACGCCAGTCACTCTCGTCTGAACCATCGCCTAATCTTACAGTATTAATGAAGGTACCATGTGTACTTTTCAAATCTTTAATCAAAATCTGCATATTTATAAAAAAGTTAAATTATTTAACAAGTAGATAACAGAAACTTTGAATTACGGTTGATAATTACCTTTCCGTTTTCTTCTTTTAGTAACGCATGCTCTCTAGACATAACATCACAACTAAATACTCCATTATCTGCTCTAGCTTCTTTTTGATTACGGCTTCCACTAACTCTGCCAACCTTAATTTCTTGATCAGGATTGAAACTTAAATGTTTGGGAGCAAACTCTATTGAATCAGAGAGAGGGAATAAATTAATTGTAACCGTTCTGGCTGACGAAGATGGAGGAGATCCGGATCGCGAACGTGACCTTAAAGGCGAAGGCAACGAGGATTCTGATTTTGTTGGTGACCAGTCCATTGTTTCAACTTTAGATATGGGTTTGTTTACTTCCTATATTACGTTTAAATAGTTATATATAAAAATTATTCAAATTATTCAAATTATGCAAATTAATTTTCATTTTCAAAGTTAAAAAAAGAATGAAGGCTTTCTGATTTTAATAAAGAACAGAGAAGTATAAAATAAGGTCATATAAACATATGAAACATTCACATTTAACACTTATTGGATAGAACATACCGTCATTTTCATTAAATCTACGAATATTTTGGAGTCGCAAAAATTATTCGCAAGACCAAAGATTAGTTAACAGGTTACTCCAAGTATATTTTACTCTTACTTCAAGAGAAAAGTTTTCAACAAATAAAACACGATAAAATAACTACCTTTTACTCGACTATAACGATTGATTTATAAATTAAATAGATAAACAGATAAAAAAAAAAAAAATTTCTATTAACAATAACAGCCAAAGCTTCATAGGAAAACAGCATGGTTTTAATTTCATGTAAATATTCACACCTTAAACGTGTTATTTTATACTTTTATAACTGTCACAATCCTTTTAAACGAACAGAACGTAAAAACAGTTTTTAAATTTTTTGTTTCTTTTGGGGGGGAGGATGCAACACTTGAAATATCATAAATATCAGAGTAACACCAAAAAAACTGCGCCTCAATACCAAAATAGTGAAATTACTCGAAAAAATATTGGTTAATATGCAATCAAACAAATAAATTTTGTGGTGGCTTTTTAAAACTTCGTCGAACTGTTATTTTATTAATTTTATCTTCTCATCATAGCGATAGAATTGAGAAATTTTAAATAAATTTTTTTTATTTAATTTATACTTATTTAGCTTTGTGAATTGGTTTCAAAGCCAAATTACATGAAGATTGCCATTTTAATGGCCCATTTTGGATTAATTATTTTAATTTATCCAAATAAGCTCTTATTAAAAAAAAATTTTTAAAATTTAAACATCAAATTATTTAAAATTAAATAAATTACCTTAGAAATTAAAGTAAAATTGTAAAAATTCGTATTTAAAGAAGTAGTTATTTAAAAAGAAAATTTGATATGAGATTATACTTAATAATAAAAATATAATACTTAATAAATTTTCAAAAACTTTAAAAAATAAAATTTAGAAAAAATAAACCAGTAACTTTATTTTTTAAAATAAGCTTTATTAAATTATACTTAGCTTTTTAAAAAAAAATCTACATAAAAGATATAGACATTAAAATTTATTATATTCTTATATGATCAATCAAAATTTGAAACAAATCCAATTATATAAACACAATTTAATTGATTAAAATTTATGATAATTCAGATAATATAATCATTATTATAATATCAGCTTGAATTATTATAATGAATTAAATTTAAATCTTGGTTTTGATTTTTGATCTAGTTAATATTTACTTATGTTCTTAAGTTCTATGTAAAATAAAAAGATAATGGAAGATAAGTAACATATCTAAGAAAAAAAGCTATTAGAAAAAATTATTAGACCAGAAAACTATTAAAAATGATAAAACTATAGAAAATAAAGTTATTAGAGCTATAAGAATGAAAGGTAAAGTTATTGAAATAGAAAGTAAAACTTTAAAATAGAAGGTAAATATATTTCGTGATCTATTAGAAATTTATGATATTTTCTAGGATCTTCTTTCCTTTCTATTATGTTATAATAAAATTGCATATCAATTTCTAAGACATTACAGAAGGTTAGTGTAATCTATTTTTTTTCTTATTCTTAGTAATAATCAAAAATTTCAGGATCAAGATCATATTCAATAGCATATTAATAAGGTATTCTATCTTATTTGAGTTAGTTTTAGAAATCAGTATTCAAAATGATATGAATAATACATTTGCTTTAAATGTATTTATATCAGATAATTTTTTGCCAGAAAAATTGATACAATTACTATTAGTAATTTTTCAATTTTTTTCAATTTTTTTGAAATGTTTTAATCATGATATTTTATCACAACTTTCAAAATTATCTAATTTATAATATGTTAAATCTGAGTATCTTTAATCCTAAAATAATACTTACGTTATATGTAACAAATTTGATCCTTTCTATGCCTATATCTCTTTTACCAAAAAGTTTAAGGATTTTTCAAGTTCATACAGATTTACATTAGTAATATTAGGTAAAAAATGTTTTTATTTCCTTATATATTTTTGATCTTGTTATTTTATTTTTAATCTTACCATCTGCAATAAGATTTTTAACCTTATTTTCAAATTCAGAAGAATAATAAAATTAGCATAAAATTTTGTTCTGATCTATTTTAATTATTTTATCAAATAAGTCTGATAAGCTCTATATAGAATCAATAGTAGAAAAATAGGCTTTTTGGTACATTTTGATTAAATGACTCTCAAAGGTTATCCTGGATATCACAAAATATTTCTCATTGCGAAAACATAATAAAATAATACTTGTAAGCCTAAGAAAACTAATTTGTTTTCTTGATTAGCATTCGTTCTGAAATCATTTGTTTTCAAGTAATAAAAAAAAATTTCCACTTTGGCATATTTCTATTTGAAACCCATTTAACTTCCAATCTGACTAACAAATAATGTTCACTAGTTGCAGAGCAAAGTGAAGCATGAATACAAGATGTAAAAACAAATATTATTCACAGGCTAACGAAGCAAAGCAAAGCATGTATGCAAAATATGAGAACAAATAGCATTCAAAGCCTTCACATATATAGCATATCATATAGGTAGCTGAAAAGAGGCAGGAGCATAAGTTCTTTAAGGTGATACGGTTGCCCTTGAGAGAAAAATATATATTAGCAGAAGTCCTTTAGGATAGATGTTATTATATATTTTTCGACCTATTGCTACCCTTTTTTAGTGTATGCTAATATAAGAGACATATCTAAAAGCAATCATGAAAATAATATTTATTTGAAAAAAGAAAATCTATCATATGATATAAATGTAAACATATTAGATTCTGAAAATACTGTATTTATGATACTAGCCCACCACTAATCTGTCACTAGTCTGAATTTTTGCAAGCTTTTGATGTTGATAAAAATCTCGAATGCGATATTTACCTGCATGTTTTCTACAGACATTATAAATAAAGGAAGTTAATTTTCCGCATTCTATATACAGAATTTATATAGGAGATTTCTAATGGACTTTGCATCCTTCTGTGCGATAACATCCTTCATTACACATCTCTCCAGTTCTAAGAATATAAGGATAATTATAAATCCTATACTAATTTTTCTTTTGAATAAATATTATTATACGAGTCGATTACGAAGCCTACTGACTGAAAAATAGACTTCAACACATATAGCAAGGTTTTAGGTATCTGAAGGATAATGATTTAATTTAATAACTTTAAGAACTTGTTCGCGTTAATAAAACT